TTGATTACATGATCAAAATTCATACCACCTTTGAGAGACAGAGACACACCATGTGTCTCCAGATATGATACCTGAGAAAAACACACCACTTAGGCAGTATTTGCTGAGAATGCATAACCTCTATCTAATCAAAAGTCAATCAACACAAAAAGAAGAAAGTTCTACATGTCACCCCTTACCTAAAAACTTGCAATGTCTTCCCACTGTTCTTAGAATAAAATTCAAACTCCTTCAAATGGTTTACAGGAGATATCATAATTGACAACCCCTCCAATGCCACAGCACACTTCTCTTTGATATCAACTCTTTCTTGTGCTTTTTGCGTAAGCTAATGGTTTTCAACTTTCAGTGAACAACCCATGCAGCGGTTCTCAACCTTCCTAATGCCACAACCCTTTAATACAGTGCCTCATGTTGTGGTGACCCCCAACCATAAAATTATTTTCGTTGCTACTTCATAACTGTAATTTTGCTACTGTTATGAATCGTAATGTAAATATCTCATATGCAGGATGTATTTTCAGGGGTTGTGACCCACACGTTGAGAACGCTGCTTAGAGGTTGTTAAATTAATCTAGTGAGAAAAACAATGTATTTTCTAGTACAAACATACTTTGAGTTTAGAAATTTACAAAATGTAGAAGTTAACCAGATTTTTAGTTTTATGAATACAATGTATGTCTAAGAAAATCCTGTGGATAGCAGCAATAATAAAATCAAAATTTTTCTAATCAATGATGTAACATATTAATCACATAATGCTCAAAAAAAATATCTTCAAATCTGTTTAAATGTCTAACTCAAAAAATTTAAATTTCCAGTAAATATAAGTGCTGTACCCCTAATGCTAATCTACCCACATCCCCATTGGAACCACTGAAAGAACTCCTGCAATCCAGACTCCAAAATCCTCCAGAATGACATCTGCTCAAGATACATATATGTTAAACATCTACTAATACAATGTCATAAAAATCTCTGATCCCATGTCTACCCCCTGAGCGCTATCACTGTCCCATCCTCCTCCCCTGATTAGATTTCTGGGCTAAAACACCAATGGAAGAACAGGGACGGACACACAGATGAGGACACAGGGACACGGACACACACACACACACACACACACACACACACACACATTGATTTAAGGAAACTTCTCATGCTGCCACTGCCCTACTGTGCAAAAGTAGAAAATAAATCCACATTAACGGAAGGGTGAAGGAGAACTTCTTACCCTAAAGGAGAGGTGATAGGAAAAGGGAAGAATAAGTCTCTTCTAGTCATTAAAGAAAGTCAGAAATCAAAATTACCAGGCGGATTCCTGTGAGTTGTCATCTGGGTATATAATCATGTTAGAATATTTATCAGGAATCTGAAAATAGCAAAGGCCTAACAGGATGGTCTTTCAGGACTAGCACTGGGCTTGACTTTCCATTACTGAGCTTTTTTACAACTTGTTAAGGGGCAGTTTAACTTCTAGATGTCAAACAGAGATAGAAATAATTTTTGACCAGTGGAAGAGAAAGCCCCAAAGGATTATAGTTTATGATCCTGTTTTAAATAAACCAGTTTTCATCTAAGCCAGCAATCTATGAAACTGTCTATGTATCTAACTTCTCAAATACTTTTTGAACTGTTTTTTACATTTTATTGGTTCCCTCACTAATTAACAAGTTGAAGAAAATCTTCAACACGTATTCATTTTGTATTTGCATGAGTAATAACTTTATCTTTTTGAAAATTCTACTTTAACAGGCACCACTTTTAATATTGTTTCTAGAGATTATCATGAGTTATACATTCACAATAAACCACCTTTTAAATTTTCAATCACCTACATTTGACTAGATTTTTAAAAATATGCAGTATTTGTAAAAAGGGTTATAATTTGGTAAAGAAGCTATAACTTGGAATAAGATTTACTATGTTTAAGTCCTAGTACAGAATAAGTTATACTGTATATTTCTCAATTATTACTATGCAATTACAGGTCCAATTTATGGCTAAAAATGCAGAGAATTTCTCCTGGGAATCAGAAGATTAGACTGATTAAAAAAAAAAAAAAGCCAAAAGACTAGTCAATAAAATGGGGAGAGTTCAAAACAATGGTTCTCCTCTACTCTGCATATTATATTGTCTATGGAATATTTTTAAATGCCAGAGGCTTGGGCAAATTAAAATCTGAGTATCTGGGAAAACCCAGGCACTAGTATTTTTCTCAAATGTATAGTCTTTCTACAGCCACTTTTCCTGAGTGCTTTGGACTCTCTCCAGCTTTTCCTCTCTGCAATCAGATATAAGAGAAAATAATGAACACAATTATAGATGATAAACTTACAAAGAGTGCTATTTTTACCTCTATGCTAACATAAAGGAAAACAGGTTAAATAAAACTATGTATAAAAAGAAATATGCCACCTGCATTTATTTCATTATTGGGTTCAGAGTTTCTCGAGAAAAGTGGACCCTACAGTTACTTAAAAGCTCCTGATAAGTGAATATCAAACTTATGATCTCAAAAAATGTAATATAAGCCAACAGGAAAACAAATTCGTTATATAAACCTCATTTAGCATAACTATCTACTCAGTATGGGCACATACCATTGTGGACTGTGAAAAAGCAAGGGAAATACCAAAATGTGAGCCTATGCTTCAACTTCTGAACCAAATAAAAATAAAGTTTTTTTAAAAAAGCTGACTTCAATACATTTGTATTCTGGAACTTAAACAGATAAAGAATTTTTTTCTAGGATCTTTCTTCTTGCTGACTCCACTTTCTTAACTTTCCATGCCAATCTTGCTTCCATCCTCGCTTTGGTCTAAGTTTCCAGGATCATGTCATTAATTGACCATTACCATCCACCCAGTTGTTAAAGTAAAAAGCCTGAGAAATTACCCTTAATACCTTCCTTTCCCTCACGACCCTTATTCAGAGCAACAGCAGGTCCTGTCAATTTCTAACATCTCTTAGTTGGTCTCCCTGCCTCTCTCTACTCAGCACCCCTCTTCAATGCGTGTCCCCGCAGCCAGGGTAGTAAAGGCAACTGACACTTCCTCATAGAGTTCTTTATTGACCACTATCTAAAATAGTCCTCTCTTCACCATCCACCACAGGACACTGCTTATCTTCTTCATAATGTTTATCACAGTCCGTACAAGTGTGTGTCTAAGGTGGGGAAGTGGTGGTTGTCTTATTTCTTCTACCACCAGAATACAAGCTCTATTTGAAGCAGGGACCTTGTTTTTTCTATATACCAGTTTTCTAGGGCCTAGACAACACATGACATATATTGAGCACTCAACAAGTAGTTGTTTAATCAATAAATACTCAAATGGGGGAGGGTCTCCATCTACAACACTGGGCTGGAAAGAAAATTGAGTTCTATCTAGACTTGGCTCTACCAGCAATTAGCTGCGTGGCCTTGAACAAGGCACAAGATTGGAGTTGGCTAAGAGTCACTGGACCAGCGGTTCTCAACCTGTGGGTCGCGACCCCTTTGGCGGTCGAACGACCCTTTCACAGGGGTCGCCTAAGACCATCCTGCATATCAGATATTTACATTACGATTCATAACAGTAGCAACATTACAGTTATGAAGTAGCAACGAAAATAATCTTATGGTTGGGTCACAACATGAGGAACTGTATTTAAAGGGCCAGAAGGTTGAGAACCATTGTTCTGGACAGTTAAGAACATAGAGACAGCAGGTATGAAGATTTTTTTTTCTAAATTTCCCTGCCTGTCTAAATTCAAAAATAAAGGAATACGAACGCTTTTAACCTCCGAGTCTCTCTCATCTGTGCGAGATTACTATGAATGTCACTTCCAGCTCAGAAATACTAGAACTGCATAGGCCTCCATCTGCTTTCCAATCTGAACCTTCCATACTCATTCCTCACTGACACTCCTCCTACCCCCACCAGCCAAATCGAAGTGTTCACCCTGCAACCAAACATCACACGGAGCACTTTCCTGACTCACATCTGCTTATTCTGCCACATCTTCACCAACCCCAACCACTAGAAATTCTATCTTCAAAGCCCAGATCAATTGTTAGCTGCTTCATAAAGTCTGACCCAATCCCCTGGCCCAATATTGGTATGATCAGTATGTGTTCTTCTATGCTTCAAATTCTTTTATCCTCTCAGCCTGTTTCCAAATCTGTAAAACAGAGATCATAGTATCTACCATACCACGCTATTGTTGGATAATTGAGAACACACAGTTTGGTAATAAAGTGGTCAATAAATCTATTGTCCGCAACACATATTTTTCTTTCTCCTTGAGGTCGATCAAAGTGACTTTTTTTCATTTCTGAATCTCCAAAGGTTTGAATCCATTGCTCCTCCCAATGCCTTGTGTTTTCATGCCATTAAAATGAAGGTAATGAATTATACCAACCACTATTTCCTCCAAAAATCACGTTGCCTTTACTATATTCTTACATAAAGAGCCTAAAAGATACCACAGGTCAGCTTCTGTAAGGGCGGGAATTCAGGGAAACGGAAATTACTGTTGCAAGTGGGAGTAGGGTGGAAGCATTTACGTTATGATAACATTGATGATGACTTTGGTAATTCTTTCCAAAGAAACCGCCTCTTCCCACAGGGATAGATCCTTTGTATTGATGAAGTCAGGCTACAGATATTGAAAGGAGACTGTGTCTCAAAGGGGCGAAAAAAGAGAATGAGGAAGAACAACCCAGTCGCGTTGAGGAGGAAACGTCGTAAGCCACAAGTGTACTAGAGCCTAGACCAGAACCCATTGCCTTCACCTAACCCTAACCACGAGGAGCGGGAAGACGACCTGGAGCCGAAGGGAAGGAACGAGGGCTGACCGACCAGAGACTCCAAGCAGCCGGCTGGGCGGGCGGGGACGTCGGCGGAAGCGGGGCAACCTCAGAGCAGCAGCTTTCCTGGGCGGCCCCAGCCCGCCGGCCTGCGGTTACAGACCCAGGCCGACGCTTCAGCAACAACCCCCGCTTCCCGCCCGCGTACCTGCCGGGTCGAGCGCCATCTCGGCGACGGAGGAACGCAGCCGCGAGGCCACGCCCGGGCAGGGGGCGGGGAGGGGAGGAGCCTGGGCCAGGCCGCACGTGCCGCCGCCCCAGCTTCCCGAAGGAGGAGGAACGGAGGTTGTGCGCGTTGCCCTTCGCGGAGCGCTGCAGGTTCCTTTCCCTCTTCTCGAGTCCCTACTTCCGCCTCCCATTGCGCCTGCGCCCGCCTGGCCCCGCCCCTAACTTGGACAGAGTGGAACGCAGGTCGCGGTGGGAGCGACCGGGAAGGGGGCGTGGCCGCGCGCGCCTCGGGGGCGGAGCCGTCGCAGACCCGCGCCTCCGGGCTTTGGGCGGAGCTGGAGCACGCGGGCGGACTTGGGTCTGCGGTGACGGGAGCAGAAGCTGTGGACCTTTGGGACTGCGCCTTCCTTAGGGACACGGTCAGGCCCCAGTCTCCCCAGCCGCTTTGGGAGAACCAAATAAATTATCCTCTCCCTTTATATTTTCTTGGTTAACGTTCATTCATTTATAAATGTCTATTTCATGCTTGTCAGGTTATACAACCAGCGTTTTGAACACGAGGGGAAAATAATTGAATAATAATAAGGTACCCATTCTCGAGGAGCACCGTGTTGACAGGCGAGTGAGATGCAAGCAACACGCTGTTAATTGTGATAAAAGCCACACGTGCGAGATAGGCACAGTTTAGTATACCATAAAGGTAGTACAACGTGTGCAGTATCATTCTTTCTTTCCCAAATCAGTAGCCTGTGGCTCCCCTGGAGGTTAAAATTTTAAATTGGGCGCTAGGGGTACCTCTCTTTAATGAAATAATATCCTCAGGCCGTACAAATCCCGACTCTTGATCATTAAAGCTGTATGTTTTGTGAGGAAAATGAAGTAAGGTGGTAACCATCCTCCTTAAGAACCCCAACTGCCCTCTTCCCAACAGAAGAAATTTCCTGGTGACAATTATGCTAATTTCCACGCACCAACCGGCCTTCAGAAGTGCTTACTTGTCATCCCCACATTTAGCTGGCTGGAGCCTCCAAAAGGGTGCTGTGCAGCCAGGGACAGGGGACAGATGTTAGAGAAAGAAGGAGCAGCTGCTTCTTCCCTGTGAGGGATTTGGGGCTTTCAAAATGATCCCCTCCTCTCCTACCTGCAGGCCCTCCTCCCCTGCTGCTGCTTCCGCCTGGTCAGTTGGCAGAAAAGCTGATGGCCTTGGAGCAGGGCTGGGAAAGTGGGTCTCTGCTCAGCAGGTCTTCCGTTTAAGGGCCTATTTGGGCATAACGGTCCTTATCACAGCTGTAGGTTCAGGTGCCAAGGTGAAGAATTAATGTTTTACTCGGCCAGGCAGGAAATCGGCTCCTTTTCCTTGTATGTGTTATAAATGTGCTTAGAAACACACCACTTTCATTCTGATTCCCCTTTTATATTTCTGGAGGTGAAGGACTTAATTTAGAAAGTAAAACTTTTGAGGAGATGATGTGGGGTGTAAAAGCACAAGTCAGAAACACAGTTAAGTAATTACATGAAATCTTCCTATATGCAAAAGACCATCGTGGTAAAGGAGAAACTTGGAGAGCTTTTGTCAGAGACCTAGGTACCAACACCTGAACCTGCATCACGACCCATTAGCTTTCTGACTTAAGTAAGTTCCAATGTTTCTCTGGACTTTAGTTTCTAATTTGCAAGGTTGTGAGAAATAAATGTGATATCATATAACACTGTTTTAGTAATTGAAGGACTACTTCTATAGGATTTGCCATAATTTTGTTATAACCATTATTAATATCCTATATGATAAAAGCCTACCCATCTGCCTACCCATCTTTCAAGGCCTAAGTGTCCGACCATTAGTTCAACCCTTCGACCAGTCACTATGACGTGAACTGATCACCAGGGGGCAGACGCTCCAACCAGAAGGTTAGCTTGCTGCTGGGGTCTGGCTGATCGGGACTGGACAAGATGGGACAGACCTGCCCTGGAGCCCTGGAACCCTCCTGTGGTCCCTCCCCCACTGGCCAACCTCCCATAGTCCCTCCCCCACTGGCCAACCTCCCATAGTCCCTCCTCAGCCCCAATCGTGCACCGGTGGGGTCCCTCAGCCTGGCCTGCACCCTCTTGCAATCCAGGACCCTTCGGGGAATGTTGGAAAGCTGCAGGCCAGGCTGAGGAACCTGTGCACTAGGCCTCTAGTTTTTTATTAAAATTAACTCACTTTTAAAAAGATTTAAATGGAGACTATCCACTTTATTCTTATCCTAAGTAATATTATTTGTAAAACCATGAGTTTCCCAGAAAATGGAGTGCTAACCATGTCACACTATGAAGAAACATTAGCAAAAGTAGTACCTCATTGCCTGGTATGTAATGGTGTACCCCTCTCTCAAACTTAGATCATTTGGGGGCAAAGTCTTTACTATCTAACTGGGAAACATAAATCATTTCTTAAAAAGTTAAATCATAGAAATTAATTGGCAATTCAAAACAGAATTAATTTCCTAATATATCACATTGTTAACAGACAATTCTTTGGGCATTAACTGCAATAGGCACATGAAGAAGAAGGAGAACACCTTGTCCTGGAAATGAGGAGCTATGTATGTTTTATCAACCATGATCCCTAGGGCTCAGACAATATCTATCACCTAAATGCCCCACAGTAGCCTTTCACAAAGAATTAATTGCAAGGATGGTTAAGAGAGATTTCAAGATGTGGTAGAAATTATGGTAGGCCTTGAAAGATGGGTAGGCAGAGAAGAGGATGTCACACTAAGAGTAAAACAAGATCAAAAGCATCTGGGATTTGAGTTGTTCTTAGAGGATAGGAAGGGCACAGAAAAGGGGGTAGGTAAGAGGTGGGACCATATGAACAGTAGTATGGGGGTGGAAAGCACAGGGCTGCATGGAGGCATGTGGAGGGCAATGCCTGAAAACACTTTAATGCATTTGAAGATTTGGAAAACTAGGATAGATGAAAATGCAATAGAAATATGTTAGAGGGGGCCAGATTCCCAAAGCCTTAAACATTAGACTGAGGAGTGTTGACATTTGTCGCTATACACAATCAGGAGCGGTTGGAGGTTAACAGATAGAAAAATGGCATTGTGGTCAAAGTGATGTTTTCTAAAGATTTTCTGCAGGATAGATATAGGTGGTGAGGAAAGACCCAGGAGATAAGCAGGACAGTAAAGAAGCTAGTGCAGTAGTTCAGGCAGGATTGGGAAACAGCCTAAACTGGGATATGTAGAAATGTAAAAAGAAAGGATGGATGTAAAAGTAATTGCAAAGGAAGAATCTAAACTGTATCATTGAACTTAGGAGACTAGAACAAGAAGTTAAGAATAATTTATAGGCGATTCCATTTCTAGACAAATGTATACAGACAAATGAGAATATCATGGCAGTGCATCTACTCATGCCTCATGATCTACCTTGATCCTCATTACTGGGGAGCAATACTGAAACAGACCAGTTAGGATGAAGCTGCAATAATACAAGCAAGCAAGGATAATGGCTGATCCATTGAAGAGGATATGAAATGAAGGCAAAGAGAGGTATGTAGTATGTTGACTAAACATTAGTACACATATATTTATATGGATTTCTTAGTCTAATATCTAAGTAATGTGCAAGTACAAATATCTAAATTGTTTATCAAGTCTATCTTGACCATACCTACCATTTAGTTTTGCTCTATGTTGACATCCAGTTGGTTATTTTAAAATATTGAGATGATCAGTCAACCCCTGCTTGCTTCTAACTCTGCCCAGCATCAGAATTAAAGACTTTCCACTTATAGCTCTTTTCTGCCTTATCTTTGAGCCAATGAGAATTAAATTTGGGAAAATATTAGAAGCTCCCATCTCTACAGTAGATAGAGTTTGGAATTAATTCCTGGCTAGAAGATCACTATCCAAAGGGCCCTATTGGCCCTGCTTTCTGAGCTACATAATTTAGCCCATACATCCATACACCCTCTCTGATTTGAATGGGCTTAAGTGGACACATATTAGTTTGCTAGGTCTGCCATAATGAAGTACCACAGACTTGTTTGCTTAAACAACAGAAATTTACCTTCTCACAATGGAGGCTAGAAGTCCAAGATCAAGGTGTCTGTAGGTTTGGTTTCTTCTGAGGTTCTCTCTCCTTGACATGTAGATAGCCATCTTCTCCCTGTCTCTTCATATGGTCTTCTTTCTGTCTGTGTCTATGTCCAAATTTCCTTTTTTCTTAAAAAAAGGAGACAACTCATATTGGATTAGGGGCCTACCTTCATGACCTCATTTGAACTTAATTACCTCTTTAAAGACACTATCTCCAATAGTCACAATCTCAGGCAGTAGGCTCAGAACTTCAACATATGAATTTTATGGGACACAATTCAGCCTATAACAACATTCTATTTTTTTTTACAAGGACTAGAAACCTTCCCTGAATCCCAAATCACTTGGCTAGAATCCTGATACCCTGCCTAACATTAGTTTCTCCCCAGAGCAATATACTTTGTCCCTGTTTTCCTGGTGTTTGAATAGGACCTGTTCAATATGTATGAGTTCACCCAGCCACTACAGTCAGCTCCTATCTGTCCCTCATCACCCACATCCAATTGACCACAAAGACTTACTCAGTTCTCCCTTAATATATCTTATTCATCTACCAACCACACTGTAATAATCAATCCAAGACCTATCAGCAACAGCTTCCTAACTTTCTCTTTGTTCCTCCCTTTATTCTTTTCTAATCCATTTTTTAAAATATTTCTTTACTGATTTTAGAGAGGAAGGGAGGAGAGAAAGATAGAAACATCAATGATGAGAGAGAATCATTGATCAGCTGCCTCCTGCACACCCCCTACTGGGGATCAAGCCCACAACCCAGGCATGTACCCTTGACCAGAATCGAACCTGGGACCCATCGGTCCGCAGGCTGACGCTCTATCCACTGAGCCAAGCCGGTTAGGGCTTCTAATCCATTTTACCCACAACAGCTAATATAGTTATAAAATTTTTAATATAAAACCTTCAAATATTCCCCATATAAATAAAATCCATACCCTTTGCTTTTAAGAGATTCATAAAACTCTTTATAATTTAGTCCCAACTTACTACTTCATCATTTCATGACCAGCCTGCTATACTCTGCAAGTTCCACTATATGAATTTACTTGCAATAGTTTATTATGAACTTTTCTGTGCAAAAATGGGTAAAATTGTGTGT